ATTCTGACTGGGTCAGTACTCATCGCAGATGATTTGTACTAAACTGACCCAGAGGATTGTGGCTGTTTTCGAGCAGGGGTTGCATACCGTCACGCTCTTTCGCGCGTGAGAGAAAACACGTTACTTTAAAATAAATTACCCATAAACTTAGCGTTTGCCCAGGAATAATTATCATTTTTCACTGATAGTTTGATATATTCTTTTTTCGAGAGACGCGAAGGAAAGTGTTTGGTAGGTTGAAGAAGGACTGGATACTCTATGAAAGCGGGTGACAAGGAGAGGATGATGAGGGTGAGTTGAAAACTCTCACGAAGGTGAGAATCGGTTGTCGAATTGTAGGGCTTAGGAAACCTATATGGAGCGGTAACTCATCTGGCAGCAGATAAATCGATCTGACATAAATACCAAAAGAAAATTAAAATAAATAAATAAATGAAATGGCAAATCATATAATCCCGCACGCGCGCCCCACTTTATTCTTTAAAGTTTGGCTAAGTTCGCTAGACACTGGTCAAGTTAGCGCCGGGGACATGTGAATGACCTAGAGACACTTCACATCACGTTACATAAGCAAATATTAACCGCTGACTACTTTTACGAGCGTTTCAAAGATGGCGCGAAATCTGCAAAACTGATGCAGAAGAACGGATTGAAATGGTTCGTTTATCGTTAATTTTTTCGGTCGACTAGCTCGTTTAGTGTATTGCTGAAAAGGTTATTATTCTTTATCAACAGGATATTCGGTCGTTTTTTAGTCCCAAAGGAAAAACTTCAAAACCAGGGGCCTCAAAGGCTGGGAAAGACTCAAGTGCGAAGCCTGCATTGAAAGATCCTGGAAAGGGACCCAAAGAAAGCCAGAATAGGAAGGCAAGAAAATGCATTGACTCAGGTAATAGTTTAGTATAGTGGAATGCTGATTAATTTTGTCATACCCATGATTTTTTAAAAACCATTTGATTAACATGAACCAAAAGCTGTTTCCTCCCTTTAGTCAACACTGCAATATCTTACCCCTAAACTAATATTCAACGCATCTTGTCAAGCATTTTCTAATTTCCTGGGATATTTAGTTTAATTAGTCAAAGATCAACATGACCATTTCATGTTGTGTACAGTGTGCATCAATTTACCGACCTTGACAGTCACTTGCGAATTTTTCCTGAATTGTTCAATACATTAACTACAGTTTATCAATTCATTTACTTAGTGATCTTGTGACTATCAAGTCTGTGTTGTTAATAGATATTTTTTTTCTTATCAGATTCTGATGAAGATCCTCTTCCACCTAAAATAAGGTACTATGCAAGTTTATACAACAAATTTGTACATCAGTTTCTTTCTATACACATGTTACTTGCTTTGTGCATGTATCAGTATCAGTACTTTTCTGTACTCATACTCTGTTTACAGCTTAGGATTATTACAGGATTGATTCACTGTACATGTAGCTTGGTTAGGGTCAGCTAACTGGTTCGCACACAATATTTAGGTTAAGGTTAACAGGGGTACATTCTGCATTGTAATCTGCTAAACAGACCTACAGTTCATATCCCCACAAGTGTCAATCAAGTTTATTTCAAAATGACATTACATGTATATACAGTCACTCACTCAAAGGCAAAGAAATTTGTTGTGTATTGGAAAGTCAAGAGACAACATTACAGCTGCCAGTCATCCCCACTAATAATTTAGTAGCCACAGGGCTCAAAAGTGTTGTTTGTTCGTCTGGGACAAGTAGATTATCTTGCCGGGCAAGTAACTTTTTATTCTCACTTGCCCAATGGGCAAAGGATCAGGCACCTTGTCTTTCAACTAAATAAAATAAAAGAAGATAATGTTAAAGTAAATGGGACAGCAAAATCTTAAGCTGCGTGTCTGATGGACAAGCTAGAATTCAAGTTTTTTTAGCCCTGAGCCAGTCGTAATTCAATTAAACCAATTGCCCTGATTTACCTGCAACTAAATTATTGATTTATTACCTATGGTAAACCATTACCTGTGAAAGATTACTAGATCATTTGATGCAATTCTTTGAGACCTCTGACATTTGACTAACATTCCATCTTCATGAACAGTTTCTTTCACCTTAGTCCTGGTATTTTTTGTTCATTTGTGTTATTTCTTGTTGCAGAAAAGCAACCGTGAAAAAAGGCGAAAGTTCAAAATCAAGCAAGAGCAGAAAGCCAATCACTGTTGAGGACTCTGGTAAAAGCATGATTTTGTGTTCATTGTATTGAACCATACTATTTACGAATAAAATGTAAAGTAATGTAGGGAGAGTTACAGGTACATGTAGATTGTGTTGCAAATTCAAGCCTTCAAATAAAGCATCTCAGTTCCAGTATTTTGATCATAAATATATTATAATCTGCTAGTCCTCAAAATCTCTATTGCACTCAATTTACAAACTGTAACCTTACATGTAGCAATGCTAATCAAATAATGATATTATGTGATCACATTTTTGTTTGGAGCTTGTGCACACTTTACACTCGTATAAGATGTGCACAGTTTGTTTAAGCTCAGGTTGTATGTGCCTGTTGCCAAAATGGAGCATTAATTAACATACATTACAGTATGTTTAATTTACCCCTTGCATGTGAAACTTATACTCAAGCTGTTCTACTTGTATCTTGGAAAACATAGTGAAATTGGGGAGCAGTGCAATCAAATCTGTATACCAAAATATTTTAGTGGCAACACATCACTTTATTCTGGTATTAATTTTGTTCTTCAAGTTTCATCTTGATTCCTCCAATTCTCTAATATATTACTCAATAATCCAGATTGCTGCATGTTTTAATACTTTGTAAATTTATTGCCAAAATGTTAAAGGTAGCAACTCTCTAAAAATAGCCAAGGCTGCTAAATCCACCCCTCCCTCCAGAAAGAGATTGTTGGTCTTTTATCTTGGATTTTACTAACATGTCTTGCACAGGTTTGTATTAATGATGGTTAAAAGTGTATCTGTTGGTATTCTGCAGAAGAGGAGGAAGTTGTACCTCAGAAGCTAAAGAAATCTGCCAAGCAAATGGAAACAAAAACAAGGAAGGAGGTTGTGCATGTTAAGGAGAGGTACAATGTGATTAGTTTACTTTTGAACAGTTACTGAGGGCTCTCTTTCAATTTTGCTTTTCTTGATATTTTTATGTTACATGTACATGTAGTTAGTACTTAGAAGCAAATTTGTTCAAAGGAGCTCAGTCACGGTGTTTTGTCTTTTTTTTAGCCATGTACAAAATCTCCTTTAAATGGAAGGAAACCTGAAAATAATAGTTTTCTAAGATAGAAAAACATCAAAGAGATAACAATAAACGAAAGAGGAACAAGGATGGTCAAGGATGGCGAAGATTGACGCAGATTGCAAATGACGAATCTGAAAAATTTAGGCTAAACTTTTCAAAATGTGCAAACCGGGACTGAGCTCCTTTAAAATTGTGTGATAATACATGTAAGTTGTTTATTTTTCCTTGGAATCTTAAATATGTTATAGGTCAATTTGGTCTTTACACTGTAGGTCAATTTGTTTCAAACTAAGTTAGTCTGAACTTGACCTAGTTCAGTTTGCTAATGTCTCTGTGAGTGTTTTTTTTTTTAAGTTCTGAATACTGTTTTTCTCTATCTAGCCCTGTAAAGCCTAAAGAAACTCCACAGAAACTGACGTCTGCTCTTGACTTCTTTGGTTCAACTCCTGCTGAAAGAGAATCGCGAAAAGTTTTTGCTGCAAAGAGGAAACAGGTTTGTAAATTGCTACTCTGCAAGCAGAGTCCACTTTGATCATTCTGAGATTGAAAGCAACTGTATTCACAGGGTGGTAAGTTGAAGCATGTACAGATATACATATTGCTAAGGTGTAAAGGGAAAATTTACTCTCAACTGATTATGTACTTCTTGGACCTTAATGGCAATAAAATTCAATTTGAATTAATGAGTTATGTAGCTATATAATTATATTAAACTAATTTAAAAATGCCTCTGAGCAAAAAATCTTAAAAATTACATAAGATACTAAATCTTACTACAGTAAAACTACAATGAATACATGTAGTACCTAGTTATACATGTAGTTCTCACACACTGAATTCCATTTGTCTGCCACATGACAATGCAACAGCACTTTATTGAGTTCACTGCAAAGTTCTTTGTCAAACACTAAAATTGACTACGCTACAGATGGCACTGACATTTTTTCTTAAATTCTGATAAATACTGTAACTGAATGAGTGAAGTCATGGATACATGCAAGTAAGAGATGAGATGTGGCTACCATGAGCAATGTTTTCAAGCTGACAGTTTGGTTGTCACCTGTTTATCTTTTGAAAAGTCAAAAGTCAGTGGCCATGAACATGTACATGCAGTGTCTTATCAGTCATCTGGAATGGAACATACACATATAAGATTATTTTTTTCTCTCCTCACAGAGATCTGATGAGCCAGAAGAAAATGGGGGAGCGCTTGCAAATGAAGATCAGGAGTCACTACATGGAAAAGAGAAGAGACGGAGGGAAAATGAAGATCTGAATGGTAGAGCAACAGAACAGCCATCCAAGAAAAGAAAAGAAGACTCATCTACCCCACGACGGGAAGAAAAAAAGCCATCTCCTGAAAAGAAGAAGGTCTGTGAATTTGTTCATCAACTGTACATCTAATTGTTGTTTGAACAATATAAATTCTTTTAGCAGGTGCAGAAGTCAACTGGGCTTTCAATAATGTAATTTTTGGATAAATTAATCATTAGAAGTCAGAGACTTGAAGACTGACTGACTGTTGCTGCAATGTCTATTTGGGCACGACAAGTTATTCTCAGGTTATCTTTTGCTGGTTTGTGATGTTAGCCTGCTCTTTGAACATAGCTGTACTGTAGTTAGACTAATATTTAGATATTGAATTGTTGACCTCTAAGATAAAAGTCTGTATGTAGTGGCATGTTCATAATCATCTGCTTGTTGTATAGTTATTTTCAGATGTCTTGTTGTTTTAATTAGCATACATACTTTACCCTTCACAGACACCGGAGAGTGTTCCCAAGACCACACCTGCTAGTCGGCTTGCAGCTAAAGCAGCCGCAACTGTAGCATCAAAAGCAACTACTGCTGTCCCTGAGACTCCAGGTAGAGACACTAAGAGGAGTCCAAAGAAAACTGTTACTCCAAAGAAATCTGAGGACAAAGGAGTTGCAAAGGAATCTCCAAACGAGAAAACTCCGAAGACACCTAAATCTGATGAACCAGATGAGGTTCCTCCATCTTTAGAGAAGAAAAAATCAAATTATCGCAGTTTCATGGCAAGGGATGGTCCCAGAGCTCTTGGCTCAAAACCAGTCCCTGAGGTGAGTATCAATCATGTTCAAATGTAGCAAGGATGATAATTCAACATTAAGTAAGTCAGGCAAGTTGTCTACATTAAAAACAGTTACTTGTGTAATTTGCAAGTACTTACAACTAGTTACAACTCAATGCATGTGTACACATACCTCAATAGTGGTGAATGTACAGTGGAGCCACACCAAATCCTAGTGTTTTTTTTTGCCAAGCAGTGGTCAAAATCAATGTTATTTGGCTGCATTTATAGGGAGAAGAAAACTGCCTAGAGGGACTGACATTTGTTATTACTGGAGTGCTGGAAAGTATTGAGAGAGATGACGCTGCGGATTTGATTCAGAGGTACGGTGGCAAGGTGACTCAGTCGGTGAGCAAGAAAACAAGTTATATTGTGGTGGGACGGGATGCTGGTGAGAGCAAACTTTCTAAGGTAAGGGACAGCCCAAGCATCTTTTACATTTTATTGTACCTACTGTATGTAGTCAGATAGTCCCATGCCAAAAAAACAAAACAAAACAAAACAAAAAAAAGAAAAAACAACAACAACAAAAAATTTATACTGACCCAAAAGCAAAAATAAAACAGTTCTTAATAATAAAGTATCACCCTATTGAAACTAACTGCTTGTGATAGGTGGTGGAGAGAGATTGTATTTTGTTAAATTGTTTGTTTGTTTGTTGTTTTAAGGCTAAGCAGTGTGGGACAACACAGCTAGATGAGGATGGGCTCTTTGAACTAGTCAAGACAAAACCAGGGAAGAAGATCAGCTATGAACCTCCCAGTAAGGAAAAGAAGTCAAAGAAGAAAGAAAAAAGTGAAGAAGCTGAAAAATTGAGTCAAGGAAAGGAACAGCTCGAAGGGGAATCATCGCAGCTTAGTGAACGATCAGTGTCATCTCCTGCCACACAGACACCCACATTATCACCTGCGTCAAAAGGTATGTTGTGATGTTCCAGAGAATATTGATGCTCCTCCCACTGAGATTTTTTTAGATTTGACTGATGCCCTTATTGGATTCTCCCAGGAAATTCTAGTTTTGCTGTACACTTTCCTTTAAAGAAATATTGGCTTTTGAGAACCCCTTTCCCTTGGAATTTCCTATGGACCACATATCGCATTTGCATGGATCTTCACATCCAACTGTCTGTCAAGATACTTATTTTTGACCAACAAAATGTCCTGATAACTAAATACATACACAGTAAATACGAACTAAATACATACACATACAAGTCGTTCAACTACTCATTTTTGTCTTTAACTGTTTAGGAGAACCAAGTTTGTTGTGGGTTGACAAATATCGCCCACGCTCGGTGAAGCAGATTATTGGCCAGCAAGGTGACAAGAGTAACATGCGAAAGCTGATGAACTGGCTGAGAGACTGGGAGAAGAACAGAAAGAAACCATCAACTAAATGTAAGTAGAACTGCAAACAGAGCAGTGAAATTAAAAAATATATTATATATTTGCCCTTCTTTTTAACTTATATGTATTTTTCAAAATGTTAGTGGTATATGCATGTAATATAACATTGTGAGCAGTTTCCAGGACAACATCAATTCTGATAATTAAAATTGTAGATAACCTACAGTTTAATCACTTTATGTACTCTTGAGATAAAGTACATTTATTGAGCAGTTCAACTGCACATGTATGCCTAACCAATGGTCATTGTGGTTTCATGTCCTTGATGACAAGCTGCAGATCAGATTGCATTATATTTTTCTACATGTGGTAGAAAATAGACCTGGCTTTAAGAAGACATGGAGTTTATTAATGCCAATTTCTGATGCCAATTTTGCCATGGCAACATGATTAAGTATTGATAACAAACTTGTGCATCGACAATGTTGTTGTTGATGATGATGATGATGATGATGATGATGATGATGATGATGA